CGAGGCTGTAAATCTTTACAGGAGCAGAAAGCCTCATCTTTCTCCCGCAGAACAGCTGGTAGTTTCGAACTGCTGACCCTGAGGTTAGCAGCCCGATTCGTAACCACTACGCTACCAGAGCTCGTTTGGCCCCTCTGATGCCCCTCTTAATCCTCATATACTTAATTGCTGGCAGAGCACTTGCCACTGCTACACATGATACATTTGTTTGTTCATTTTTCCTGTCTGCTTTTTCTCACTTCCATCAGGAAAGATGGGACTTTGCTTTGGCTCCTCTTGTCTTCCCAGTGCTGAGTACAGTGTGTGGCCCTAGTGGCCCTCAATAAGTAAATGAACTAAATGAGTGAACAATCTTCTAAATAGTGGTTATTTACTGGCTCAGCCTATAGAAGTATATTTAACTCATACTATGTATGAAAAATGCTAATAATAACAGAGTCTCTAGCCCTCCTGGGAGGCCTTCTGATGTGTGAGGCCAAGGCCAAACCATAAAATGCTTGTAGCTCTGCTGAGACCTGAAGAGCTGGGAAGTGAGGCCTGCTGTACAGACCCTGGGCTGGCCAGAAAGGAACAGGGATAGAGGGTTCCATGACCTCCTAGGAGAGGCTGGGGCAGGAACTGGCCAGGTGGTGGCCTCCATTTGTCCCTTTGTGGGTTTTGTGTTTCAGGTGTCTTAAGGAAGTCGATCTCCTTTATGTTTTCCATTGTTCTGCTTGTTAAGTACCATCGAGTTTGTTCTTACTCATAGCAACCCTGTATAGGATTTCCAAGAGTGACTGGTAGGTTTGAACTGCTGACCTTGCTTATCCTACAGCGCAACACTCAATTTAACTTTGAAAGTATTCTTTTCAGGGGAGGGCAACATTCAAGAATAAGACGGAAGCATGTGTGTGAGTGGGCCCAGAGCCCTGGGGTTACTCTGAGAGGGAGACAAGCTCGAAAGAGTTTTCCGGGCAGCTTGAAAGGGTGCTTTTTTGCCTTCTCTTTCAGAGCCTTCTGCCTGCTGAAGAATGGCTTCTGCTTGTCATAGACTTGGCTTTTATGCCTCTCTTCTGAAAAGGCAGCTAACTGGCAGGCCACGTGCCATCAAATGGGAACGGATAGTAATTCCAGGATGTACCAGAGGTACTTACAGTGTCACGGGAGAGTGGACGAAAGAGTATACGTTGCAGACAAGAAAGGACGTGGAGAAATGGTGGTACCAACGAATAAAAGAACAGATCTCCCAAACTTCAGACACTGATGTGAGTATTCCAGGAGATGGTAACAGTGGCAAGAAGAGGAACTAAGGACTGGGACTCTGGTCAGACTACCTGAGTTATAGTAACTTACTAAGTGCATCAGCATTAAATTACTGAGCCTACCTGTTCTGTTTTCTTATCTAATACGGAGGGTAGTAATAATTAGTGCCCACTTAGGTATCTTAGGATACCTGTGAGAGGCAAAGGAGAGGATAGTACTGAAGATCTTTTCCAGTGAGGTGGCTGTGCATATTGTATTGTTGTACAGTAACGTGAATGGTCACCCCAGGCCTTCTGCAGCAACATTTATGAGGGGAAACTTACCCAGGCAGGAACAATAGCAGGAGTTGGGTCCTTTGTGGTCCATTACCACAAAGGCTCTGTCAGGTTCACCTGTGCATCTGGGACTCTCAGCTGTGGAACTTTTAAACTGCATGTTCTGAGAAGTACCTGCCCCACCCCTCCCCTGTATGACTGACTGCCAACATTATCTGCCAGGTCAGCATTATGGTTTGGTGTGTATCTGCCTCTCAACTGCTGTGTCCAGGGTCTGGGGTTGGAGCCGAATGAGTTCTGGACCTGTGGCCTCTGGTCCTGATGACCAGCTGAACACTCTACCTGGTCAAACTGTCCTGACTTCCTGTCTGTCACCTGTTTCCATGGAGTGCTCAGCAGAAGGCTGGTTGACATTGCTCTTGGACATGTTAACCCTTTCTTCTTGTTGGTCAAAATGACAAATGTGAGATGTCACTTGTTATATTAATTCTTACTGTGTTTTGCTGATCAGAGCAAAGTACAGTAAGATAAGGTTTCACTCCTAAATTCTGACTGGTCAAATGGTATAGGTCTTCTATGTTTAATTAGAGATCAGGCCAAAGGCAAGCAGTTGTGTGAGGGGAACTACACAAACCCCATTTGACTTGTTGTTAGTTGCTGTCAACTAACAAATTCTGACTTGTGGTGCTCCCTGTGTGCAAGTAGCACGGTTCCATAGGACATTCAAGCCTGTGACCTTTTAGAGGCAGATCTCCAGGCCTTCCTAATGTGGTACCTTTGTGTGGGTTCAAGCTGCTGACCTTTTGGTTCGTAGTCCAGAGCTTGTGTGCTACTCGCTTCACTAGAACTTCCTTTCTCCCATCTCCCGATTCTTTCTGTTGTCAGGTGCATCCTTTATGTGAGATTGATCCTTATAAAAAATGTCAGGGGGGTATCTATGTTCAACTGAAGGGTGATTTTTTTGGCTTTGATTAGAAAGAAAATCTGGTAGTATATAAAAATAAAATTTAAGTTTCAGTGAAATATATAATCGTATGATAAAAACTTGAATTTTTACCTTATAAAGAAGTAAAAAGTTGCCTTCATGTCAATGTGACCAGGCTACTTTACTGACAGTGTATTTTGGAGACAAACTCTTGGGAGCAGTTAATTCTGCATAAAGAGGGTAGCAGAGAAAAACTAGCCTTTTTTATCTTTTTTTTTTTCTTGCAGTGGTGAGGGGGAGTTGGGGTTTTAGATTATAATTTAGTGCTTGGATCCACCATCAACACTCATGGAAGTAGCGGTCAAGAAATCAAATAATGGATTGCATTAGGCAAATCTGCTACACAGGAAACGTTGAACAGCAGAGATGTCAGTTTGAGGAATAGGGTGTGCCTGACCTAAGCCATGGTATTTTCAGTAACCTCAGATGCATGCGAAAGTTGGACAGTGAATAAGGAAGACCATAGTAGAAGTGATGGATTTGAGTTATGGTGTTGGAGAAGAATTTTAAAGGTACCATAGATTGCCAGAATAACAAACAAATCTGTTGTGGAATAAGTATAACTAGAATTATCCTTAGAAGCCAAGACTAATAGATCTCATCTCTCTTACTTAGGACCGATCCCTGGAGAAGGACATCATGCTTGGTGAAGTGGAGGGTCAGCAAAAAAGAGGGAGACCCCCCCCCCCAACAAGATGGATAGGCACAGTGGTAGCAGCAGTGGGCTTGAGCATAGCAGCAATTATGAGAATGGTGCTGGACTGGGCGGTGTTTCATTCTGTTGTACATGGAGTTGCTCTGGGTTGGAATCAACTCAACAGCATCTAATAACAACAACAAATATTTTGAAGTTAAGAAATTGTAGCTTACTGATTCTTTAACATTTTATTGTTCTTAAGCATAGTTAACCAAAAAATTAAAATTGATCACAATAAACTGTGCTTTGATAATTGGGGAACTAGTTGAAGGTATACGGTGAATGATTCCCTAGACTTGACCTGGGAGATAGTCAAGGGGAGTTTATTGTAGATGGATTTCAGAACTCGGGGTATAACACTGGCTGTGCCACAAGAAATCAGTGTGATCTTGGGCTTGTCATTGCTCTTTGATCCTCCGACTCTTCACTGTAAAGTCAGTCTCTGCACTATTTCTCTCACACAATTATTTTGAAAATCAAATCAGAAAATGTGGCTGAGGACGTGTTATGTAAAAACTTATGTCTTTATTAGGAAATGAGCACGTGAGAATATGAGTGAATGTTGTTGTGTTAGATGCCATCAAGTTGGTACAGACTCATAGTGATCCTATGCATAACACTGCCCGGTCCCACACCAACCTCATAGTCTTTACTACCCTTGAATCCACTGCTGCCACCACTGTGCCAGTCTATCTCATTGGGCATTTTCCTATTTTTCTCTGACCCTCCACTTTACTAAGCATGATGTCCTTCTCCTGGGACTGGTCCCTCCTGACCAATATGTATGAAGTGGTGGTTGTAGATGGTCGTGTGCCACCAAGTCGGTTCTGACTCATAGCAACTCTGTATAGGATTTCCGAGGCTGTAAACCTTTATTGGAGCAGAAAGCCTCATCTTTCTCCCACAAAATGGTTTGTAGTTACGAACTGCTGACCTTAAGGTTATCAGCCCGACTTGTAACCACTATGCTACCAGAGCTCCTTATGTATGAAGTACGAGAGCCAAAGTCTGGCCATCCTGGCTTCCGGAAATTTTCTGGCTGTACTTCTTCCAACAGATTGGTTTGTTCTTTTGGCAGTCCATGGTACTTTTAATATTCTCCTCCAACACTGTAACTCAAATGCTTCAATTCTTTTATGGTCTTCCTTATTCACTGTACAATTTCACATGCATATGAGGCTATTGAAAATACCATGGCTTGGATCAGGCACACTTTAATCCTCAAACTGACATCTTTGCTTTTTAACATTTTTTGAAGCATTGATAATCAACCTCACTCAGGTATTAAAACAATAGCTATTGAGTTGATTCTGACTCCAACTGGTTTGGGTTATCTTGATGTTTATCTCTGCTTTATTGACTGTGCGAAGGCTTTTTTTTTTTTTTCCTCCCTCCCCTCACTCCACCCCCTGCATCCCGGTAACTATCCAAGTGGTTTTTTGTTTTTGTTTTTTAATTTAAGGTTTTTATTGTGGATTGAGTGAAAGTTTACAAGGCACATCATCAGTTTCATATTCAACAATTCATATAACTTGTTTCATTACATTGATTATACTCCCCTCCATATACCATCAGTTAAAAGTATTTCTCTCTATCCACTTTAGCTTTTTTAAAAACACACAAACAAAATAACCCCACTCAGGCATATATAATAATTTACATCTCCAAAGGGCACATTCTGCAAGTCTGCTCCTGGCCACCAATTCTTAGTCCTTCTCTTCTTAGTTGATGAATCTAGAGTCCTCAGCCGCTCCCCCTCTCCATGCCCCCATCTCTGCCTCCATCTCTGGCACTGCTGCTTCTCTGGATAAGGTCTGGCATTCTGTTTGTACGTTCGTCTCTTGATGGTCCTAGGGTCCCCTGTTTCTGGACTGTAAGATTAACCACTCCCCTTTTTTTTGTTACAAAACTTCTACCTTTACAAGTGTGACAGATGCGATTAGTCATGATAACAGTTATTCACTATTGAATCTTATGAATCTTATCCCCATCTCCTTTCACCAGAACCATCTAGACAAGATGATAGCTGTTCAATGAGGACTCTTTCTTTCCCCCCATACTCTTAAACTAAACTTCCTCTTGAAACCTTTTGTAAGCCAGTCACTTCGTGCCTTTATTGCCCCCTCATTTTAGATAGCCAATGTCTAAGTTGCCCGTCCCTATCTACCTGTGCACAGAACAGATAGCATTGATACTTGATTTGAAGACTCTTTCCCTCTCTGTTGGTATTTAGAGTAACTAC